TAGTCACTTTATATTACCTTGGCCTTAAAATGCCAAAACCTACTATAATTTTCATGCCTATCATAGTTTTCATCCTCATAATAAGTTTTGTCCCTTCCAGAGTACAGCCGCCGCCTGAAAGAGCGAATGCATCATAATATCCCACATCGTTTTAATGTGGGGCTAAATATGAGAGCAACAAAATGTGCGGTGTGTCTGGATACTGTGCACTTTGGACGGCAAGCATCTAAATGTCTTGGTAAGAGCAGAGTGCGTGCATAAACAAAGTGTAACTGGACGGTAGAATGAAAAAGCATCAGCCGTCTAGAACAAGTTTTCAGTGAAAGCTGAAGAAAGGACCAAGTATGAAGACTTTGAAACTAGTTGGTGCAACCATTCTACATTAGAAAACATTTGATGGTTTAGAGTAGAAGGAGATTCTTGGATAAGCTGGGGTTTGCGCATTAGAAGTTGAGGCAGCTGTGTCATGATTTTTTTGTCATTTAACAGAAGTTTTTCTCTGTCCTTTTGTCAGAATGCCAGGTGATGTGTCACCCAAAATGCTCAACTTGCTTGCCAGCTACTTGTGGACTGCCAGCAGAATATGCCACGCACTTCTCTGAAGCATTCTGCCGGGATAAAATGAATTCTCCTGGTCTGCAGCTGAAGGAGCCAAGCAGCAGTCTACGTCTTGAAGGATGGATGAAAGTGCCAAGGTATAAACATGAATCTTGGTGCCATATCAGGTGCTGAAACATTTGGAACAGTTCCTTATGTTATCCTGGATCTTACAATGTGATAATCAGTACATGCCCCCATTACAATTACTTATTACCACTGAAATTTGTCTTTCTAGGAGTTGCATGCTTGTTTTATTCAGAACCCAGGCAGAAAATCCAACATGGCTTTGTGCTTATTTTCTTCAGGAATAATAAACGTGGGCAACAGGGCTGGGACAGGAAGTATATTGTCCTGGAGGGAACGAAAGTGCTCATTTATGATGCAGAAGCAAGAGAAGGTAACTTAGCATTTCTAGGATGAACATTTTTTTTTTTAATCTTCAGATATTGTTTGGTGAGTTGAGAGGCTTAAAGATTGTTACTGTTTGCTGTGGCCATGCCTAATTTAGCTAAATCTTCTGTAGTAAGGCAACATTGTTGTTTTTCTAGATCCTTACCACTTTTACTAGCTGGTATGTCATAATAATCCAGCTGTGAAACATTCAGCATGTATCCACTTCATTTTGCTATCACAATTATTTTCTTGCTATTTACTTGTTTGTTCTTAACTTGTCTCCCCATTCTCCCTGCAGCTGGACAGAGGCCTCTGGAGGAGTTTGAACTCTGCCTTCCTGACGGTGATGTAACTGTTCATGGAGCTGTAGGAGCTACTGAACTTACCAATACAGCAAAGACAGGTGAGAATCTTATGTAGATGAGATCAAATGGATTTCATCTGGCTTGCTGTCAGTTGGCATTCTGTTTGGCTGAACAGAATTTTCTCCCTTTAACTTTCACTCTGTAACTGTGTAATTTTGAGGTTACCTCTATATGAATTAGGTGAATAGGTCAGTCATCTAGATTTAGTTACACATAGGTGGTTGCTTCTGTCATGGTAGTTGAACTGTGAATAATATAATCATCAAGCCAAATGGAAGTAAATTCTAAGAGTTTTGTAACATACTTAAAAGCACTCGGTTTATTTAAATTTCTTCTCTCAATGCTCTCTATCAAGTGTGAAGTGTCATAATTCATGCCACCATTGTGCTCTAACCAGAAAGTCATTAACTTAGAAATACTGTGGGGTGTATACAGTCTTTTATTATGAAAAAATGTTGATGTTTTGATTTGTATGTATTGAATAGAACTGATGAAAAGATTATGTATGTCTTGACTTTAACATTAAAGGATACAGATTGTTAAAAACAAAGGTTTCCATAACCAATTTTTACAGATTTTTCTTGAACAGTACAGGGAAAACTTTAGACAAGTGGCTGTTTTTGTACTTTTTTTCCACAATGGTATTTCTTTCTCTTTTGAATAAAAGGCAAGAAATTCTTTTTATTTAGTAGAGACAGCATTGTATGTATGGATTGCATACATCCAGCTAATATTTAGCTTTAAGTAACTAGCCTGTGCAGGACCTGTAAAGGAGAAACCTATGTATAAATTGCCATGGTAACACATCATGATAAATACAACTTCTCTCCAATGAGGCTGAAAGGTGTTGATTTTAAGTCCACTGACAATATTCCAAAAACTAATCTAAGTCTTATTCTATCTATATAACATCTCAGATGTGCCATATATCCTAAAATTGGAGTCTCATCCACACACCACTTGCTGGCCTGGTAGAACACTCTACCTGTTAGCACCCAGCTTCCCTGACAAACAGCGCTGGGTCACAGCACTGGAATCAATAGTGGCAGGTGGGAGAGTTTCCAGAGAAAAAGCTGAGGCTGATGCTGTGAGTATAAAAGTTTCATTTAATAATAAAATATTCTGGGAGGGAGCAGAGTTTTGAAAAATAATTTTTCAGTATTTGACATACTGAGTTTTAACTGAAGGTAAGTTATTACTTCTGGCTTATGATGTACAATGAGTACCAGGAAACTAGTTCATTGTGAGACTGATGCTTTATATTACAATACCCTTCCTTAGACTTGGGGAGTATAGCAAGAGGATCCCAAAATTATATCTCTAATTCCAGCAAACGAGAAAAGGAAGAAAGAGCAGTCAGCACATGGTTTAAATCCAATCTCATAATGTGCCACATTGAATGAGCAAACCTTGAAAGAAAGAAACAGACAAACAAGCAAAAAGCTCCCTCCTTTCCCATTCTTATGGAGTTGGGGTTTTTTTGTTTTTTGAGGTGGGGTGTGTTGTGTTTTTTAGTTGCAGTTTTATTCCTGATAAGAATAAGAGGTTAAATGGATTTGTTTCGGTTTTAGATAGTCTTTTTCATCATTGTTGCACTGATAACTCTCTATTTTCTGATAAAGGGGGAATTGATTCTATGGCATTGCATATTAGAATGTTAGCTCTGGAGGTAGGGAATATCTGACTAGCAGGAAATCGTCTCTTTTCTCATGCTAGCATTCCTTTTGTCTCTGAGGAAAATACATGCTCCCACCAATGTTTGGACTTTTTTTAATCGTTCCCCTAGGAAAATTTCACTGCTCCTTTGCAGGAGATTGGAAATGGAAAGGAGAGGGACAACAATAGGTTCTGTCTGAGTTTAGGTTAATTCTGATTGGTTTGCCTGACTGTGTTGCAGGTAGATAAGTTTACTAATTCTTTTGTAGGTGGTATCCCTGAAATTTTTAGCTTTCTGAGATAAAGAAATCTGTGCCAAGCTTTTTGCCTGTCTGAAATGATGACCTTACATTGTTAAAATACTAATACAGAAAGAGATAAAGATTAACCCAACCAAAAAAAAAAAAAATCTTTTTGTCATTTGCAGAAATTGCTCGGAAACTCCCTGCTGAAGCTCGAGGGTGAAGACCGTTTGGATATAAATTGCACAATGCCCTTCAGTGACCAGGTAATGATAATATTCAGTTGGGCCTTTCTGAGTACTGGATATTTTATTCATGGAAATGGTGTCTTGAGAGCAATATGTGTAATTATATACCTGTTCGTTGGTTTGTTTTTTCTCTTCACTGTAAACAGTATCATCCAAATTTGCTCTTGGAGCATTCCTTGCTCTCCTCACATGGTGCTATTTTTATTTTTTTCTTCTGTTGCTGTAGGTAGTACTGGTGGGTGCAGAAGAAGGTCTCTATGCCCTGAATGTACTGAAGAATTCCTTAACGCACATCCCAGGAATGGGTGCTGTCTTCCAAATTCACCTCATCAAGGATCTGGAGAAGCTACTCATGATAGCAGGTAGGGGGCTATATGTTACCATTTGTCCTGCAGTAAATATATGGTAATTGCTTTGTACTGCTCAGAGTACTTCAGTGCCAAAGGCCGGGCTTTCCTTTAGATTTGTTACAGGCTTTTTTCTTTTTTTTTATCAGCATATTGTCAGGAATCGATTACTGTGGTTAACACACCATTGCCCGAGGCTTTCTTGTAAATGAATATGTGAATGAAGGCTCAGTTAAACCTTCATGAGAAAGTGATTTCTCAGTTTCCAAAGCTGAGGGAGGGAGGAACCAGAGACAAAACATTTCTAGCTTAGGGGTTAGTCGTCATCTTAAATTCAATTTAAAAAGTGTTGAGCTGATCAGTGAGCATATCTCTTCCTAATCACTACATACCGTTTCTTTTTAATGTAGTTAACTGTTTGAGGACCACGATGTGATCACTGTGGCCTAGGACCAACAACACTTAACCTCTCTTGCTCTAAATGCTAATCCATGTACCAAAGTTGGGGACTTCTTTCATGGTTTGTTTAAGATTCCCTTATGAAAGGAAACCAGCTTTAATTTCTCCATCTGTGGTTTTCCAGAGACAATCCTTCCTACACTGATGTAGGCATGCTGAACGTTAGGGCGCATCTTCATCTGAAAGCCCAAATTATCAAGTGTCTATATGACACGTGTAGGG